GAAATTTGGATACAGACACGCAGAGGGAAGACTATGTGAGCATGTGGAGGAAATGACCATTTAGAATCCAAAGATTAAGGCTCAGTATAGATCTCTTGCAATGCGTAGAAGAGACAAACTCTGTGGTCACCTTCATTTGGGATTACTGACTTTCAAAACTGTAAGATAATAAACTGTGGCTAAACCACTCAGTTTTTGATACTTTGTTATTATAGCTTTCACAAACTAAGACATGAAATTAGGCAAAAGTTCTAAATCCACGATTTTGTTAACACTGAAATTCCTGAACAAGGTCTAGTTTACCCAGGCTTTCATACCCAAAATTCATAAATTCTGACTTTGTTGGATTATCTCACTAGGAAAATAAGAATGAGATTACAAAATCAAAGAGTTAACATGTACAGCTCAGATCTCTATACATTGGATTGGGAGCCTAAATTCCATTCTGGAAAACAGGAGTAATGATGGCTCTGGTACAAACTAGTTAAGTGACTTCTGAGTAGGTTCCTTGCTCTCTTTGGATCAAAATTCTTCATTCACAAAATTAAAGACTGAGATTATATGATCTTTAAATTTTCTTCTGTTGGTATAACTTCATTCTGAGTAATGAAACATTTGCTAAATACCACCCCCCCCCTGCCAAATAGCTCAGCTGATTAAAGCACTTGCTTAGGCAGACCTGCCTGGCCAACCCTGTCCCCAGGGTACACTGAAATGGTGATTGAGACTGGGCGTGTGGCATGCACTCTGTAATCCCAGTGCTTGGAAGGCTGTAAACAGGAGGATCACTATGAGTCCAAACTACACAGCGATCCTGTAGATCCTGTCCTAAACAGAAAAAATAAAAATAAAAATACTCCCCTAGAAGTAAAATGTTTTGAGGTTTCCTTTCAGAGAATTGTTGGTAAAGCAAAATATCCTCTAGTGTTTCCAAATTCAGTTGTTTTAAAACCATCTTAGTCTGTCTACATAGTAAGTTCAAAGCCATCCTGAATTACAGTGAAACTGTCTCCCCCCCGAAAAAATACAACTTATCTATTTTAGTAGGTTAAAAATTTCAATAACAAAAAATAACTAACATTGTTCCCAGCCCATCAGATCTCCAAGTACTGCTATTCTGATTTCATATCACAAATAAGTTCTTTAATTTTGTTACTTTTCTAGCCCCTTTACAATAGTGTTTATTTAGATCTGGAATTAATGTTGTTGAACTGAACTATTAATAGCGTCTTCTTTAGTTAACTCAACTCTTATTGGTACACATGGAGAATTCAAATATTTACCAATTGAATTAAAGAACTCTTGAACTGTGCTCCAGATTCACAAAAGAAAAATCTGGGGGAAAGGACTTCCTGTTTTTACTAAACTCCTTAAATAATTTTTATTCATTTTAGTCTGAGAAGCACCAATACACAGGATACCATATACATTAGGTACCATGGTATTACAAGACAGACCTTTCATAATTTGCTACTTGTCCAAATTAATTTCTTACCATTTCCTATGTACTTAGCCACAGTGAAATGGACTTTGATCAACAAAAATGTTTTGGACTCTCTTGTGCTTTTTGTTCCATCTCTGTCCTCTTCTCCTTCCCTAGCTTTAGAACTTAATGTAAACAAAGGGTACCAGATATATGAGGCGCCTTGCTCCTCGGGGTTCCCACAGCACCCTGCTCTACTGCAGTACTGTGTTGCTACCAAAGTGCTACAGTGATGCTCTCACTGTTGTTCATTTCCCTGTTTTCCAGATAGCTTGAATTCCTCAAAATCAGGAATATATTTATTCTTCGTGTTTGCAGATCTCAGTAAAGTACATACTCTTATTCAAATGTTTGTTGAGCGTTGGTGGCATAGCGGTGAGCATAGCTGCCTTCCAAATGTTTGTTGAATGAATGAATAAAAAGTTTGAAGAAGCTACAAACTATAAGGTTTAAGACCTAAATCCTAAGTAAATGTTCTATGTTTTTTCAAAATCAGCAGTCCACAAATATGAATCTGATTGTTCTTTGTCCGGTAATGCTTCTTGTAGTAGTGAAATGTTTTTAAAGCATTGTCTGGGCACCTGAGAACTTTAGGACTAATTTAGGGAATCTGTGAGGTCCTTAAAATGTCAGTTGTCTTTGTCATTCTTTCATGAGTGTACAGTGGAGGACCACAAAAGATATATGTCATTCACAAGTGACTGAATGCTGAATGAGATATGAATACCCGTCCATTAGGCAAAACAGTAAGAAGATCTGCAAAATGTAAGACAATGTCACACTTATTAATTTCTTGAAAATGTGCTATTTATGTTACTAGCCAATGAGTTTTACTATTGCTACTTAATTGGTAACTATTTTGAAAAATTCTTGGTTATAATATCAAATATGATAACTACTAATAAAATTTTTAAAAGCTTTTTAGAAGCTTTAATTTAAACTCAGATAAGATAATTTGAAGACTACTACTCTAGTCTTTTCTCAAACTAGTCACATTGTACCAGGTGGTCTAAAGCAATGACCCATCCATGATGCAGGGGTGTCGTCCTCTTAGAAAGGCCTAGGATTCAGCTTCCCTTAGGTTCTTTTTCACCATGGGATGGCAAACTCGTTAAGCACCCAGGCTAGTAGCCCACTCAATTTTCCAGCCTGTCAGAATGTGTCACTTCATCCGTAAAGTTTTTCCTGATTTTTTTTTTTTTTTACAACTGAATACTCCATGAGCCAGTATGATCTTTACTTTTTAACCTCTCTATTGGTCTTATATTTTTATCATTTGTGCATTTGTTTTTCTTTCCTTTTAAATCATGAAGCCCAAGAAGGTAAATGGTTGTGTTGGTCTCTAGTTAGGCCTAAATTTTGGTTTTTCTGTTACCAATTCTGAACTGTAGGCAAATTTCTTAAATACTCTGGGCTGAGTTTTATTTCCCACATCTTAAAATGCGATAACAGTCAGGGCCTGTTGTCATCCCCCACTGAATAAACAAGCATACAGCGGGCACACAATGAATATAGCTATTATTTTAAAAATCTGTACATCTCCAATCACATTACCTTCAGCACTACTGGAACTTAATAAGTATCTCTTAACATGTGAAAGTACTTTCCTCTGAAGCAGAAAGCTTAAAAAATGCTATCCACATACATCTCTCTCTCTCTTTTTCAATCTTTTTTTTGGCTGGAAAACAGCAGGATTTCTATTCCCCTAAAACTATTTTCATTCCTCATAATCTGCAATTAAAAAGCTCTCAACAGATTAAAAAAAAAAAAACTAACTACATTTTAAGTATAGTCTTTTTCTTCCTAACCTACCATCAGGTTTGTTTTTCTAAGCTTAAAGGAGTGTGCCATTATTTCCGAAATTGTTGAAGAGATCATGTTATATCTTTCAGGAGTGGCAAAAATATGCCTGCACCACACAAGCATGTTTAACTTTTACAAATAATGGACTGCAGTATTAGCACAACCTAACTATACTTCAGATAGTAGCAGATACTAGAAGCACTGAGTTTTCAGTGAGTTGGAGGCTAGACTATGCTACACAGGGAGTTAAAGACCAGTCTGCACTACACAGCCAGACCTTCTCGATAGATAATAGAAACTGAAAGTATCAGAAAATACATTTCATCTATAAAGAACTTCTCAAAGGCAATCAAATCCACATATCCTCATTATCAGATTATCCTCAGACAATCCTGGCCTCCGTGGGGCCTACCTCAAACTTCCAAGAATCATCAGATCGGAACTACTGATGATAATGCTCTTGTTAGTTTTAAATTGGGGTTGGGGGATACAATCCAATCTAACAGCAGGGGAAAATTTACCGAGTTCTTTGGGAAACTTCTGTTCTTGACCTTTTAGTACTTCTGTAACCAAAGCATATAGCTTGTAACAAACATGTATCTTAAAGTTCTTTTAAAAAACCTCGTGAAGCTCCTAGATTCTCTTTTTGTGTAATTCCAAAGGCTTTTTTTTTGTCCTGTCCAAATCCCTGAATGTTAAGACAGGTTCACCACATTAAGGAAAATGGGGCCTCAAAACTTACCTGTTTCTAAACCTCCTCTTGGCCTGGTGACAAGCTACATTGGCTAGAGAGGTATCTCAAATTTAACAATCCCGGGAACATTGCACAACATCCCCATCCTGAGCATTTTGCAAAATGTGTGTCCTAACGGCAGAATCTGTATTAAAATATTGCTCTCTTTTCCTTTACCGAGTCTGTATCTTTCAGACACTCGGTGCAATCAGGAATAAACGCCACCCCGAGGCGCAGGCTTCTTCTAAACTCTCTTAGGACCTCGGGAAACTCCTGCTCGAGGGGAACGCCAAAGTACTGGGGGAAGATAGAAAGAAAGCCGGAGCGGCGGGCTGCGGAGGGTGCTCCGGGCGGGCAGGGCCGGGCCGGGCCGGGCAGGGCAGAAGCAGGGCCGGGCAGGGCCGGGGCGGGCGGCTGGAGTGCAGCGCACCGGCTCCGCCGCCTGCGCCTCCGGTTCCGCCCTCCGCGCACCCGGACCAGTCGCCTGGCTTCATCCAGCTGCAGCAGAAAATTACCTCTTTCCCACGCCTTTCTCCCACCGTCCCTTTGCAAGCACCGGTCACCCACCTCCAAGGACCGTGCCCAGGAAGATGCATTTCTTTTTGTGACGCTTCAGAAAATTCCACACAGATCTCAGCATCTTCAGGCCCCGAGGGGTGCGGGCTGCCTCCGACAAGGGCCCGGTTCACCAGGTCGCCGTTTCTCTGTCGCATGGGCTGGACGACCCGGCAGGAGCGCCCAGTCCCGCTCGGTGCTCCGCACAAATGCCACACGTCGCCGCCTTTCCGCAGCCGCTGTCACCCGAGCGGGAAGGGGGCGTGGACTACGGCGGAGCAGCTGCGCTTTCGGGGCCCGCCGCCGCGCCGCTCCCGGTCCGGCGCGTCCGAGGTCCGTCCAGAAATCGCTTCCCGGTGTCCCGTCCCTCGCCTCCCCCCGGAAACGAAGGCCAGCCAGTGCAGCGTTCCGCCGCCGGCGCGCCTCTTCCGTCCGGGCCTTGAGGAGGCGGCATGGAAGCGGAGGCAGCTTCCTCGGCGGCTGTGGGCGGCTGGCGCGCGGTGTCCGCAGAGGAGACTGCGAAGTGGATGGAGGAGGCCATGCGCATGGTGAGCAGCCCGCGGGGGAGGGGAGCCCGAGGGCGGAAGCTTCGTCCGGCCCATCCCCCGCCCGGTCGCGGAGACCGTGGCCCGCGTCGCCGGCTGGCTTTCTCCTCGCCGGACGTCCCGCCCCACTCGGGGTCTCGGCGTGGTCCGGCCGACGGGAAGGAGGTCGCCGCAGTGGTTTCTGGCGGACCCCGGGAGGAGGGCGCGCCCCGGCAGCGGTCCCCGGCCTCCCCGCGGGCCCGGCTCGGGGCCGGCACGAACCCGAGGGGGCCGCCCCGCCGTCCTGCGCGCTGTGGCGCAGCCTGCGCGGCGGGCCTGCACACCCGGCAGCCCGGGGCTGACTGTCGCGGACGCCGCACGCCCCCGTAGGGCAGCGCGGGGCTTTCCTGTGTCCCAGCATAGAATTCACGGGGTGCATATACACGGGGTAGGGATGAAAGATGTTTAAATGGAGCTTCGGCCCGGAGCACTTGCTATGGAAGTCAGTGAATGAATGTCAAGGCCTAGGACACTGTTGAACCTGCTCAGCAGACTTTGTAAACACTGGACACTGAGACTACTCTCTAGAAAAAAAGTTTTCTTAAATAAGTTAACATTAGCGTATTGTAACTTTTATGTTTTCTTTTAAAAGTTTCTTTACAAAAGCCAAGACACAAAAGACGCACGAGTTAGGCTTCCACAGGGCCATGGTCAACACGCACCGTCTTCCACAGAAAGGTTCCAGTGAGCTGTAACTGTCATGGAGCTGTCCACGCCTGGTAGCAGTGGCTTCTTCAGCAGTCCCTCCTGAGGGACCTGCCTGAGGTTGTTTCAGCGTTCTCTCCTCTCAACTTTCTCTGAATGCAAAATATATGTCTTGGTTACTTTCCACTTGTTGCTGAGACAAAATACCCAGCACCAAGTGAAACAGGGAAAGGTTTATTTAGCTCAGTTTGTGGAGGTTTCAAATCCATAATCAGCTGGCTCCAAGCTGGAGCGGCCTGGCACAGGGGCAGTACTTCAAGGCAGCAGAGCTGTGTTCTGAAGAAGAGCAAAAGGGTGGGGGAAAGCCTCTTTTCCTCTTTATATTGTATGCGCCCCCCCCATCTCCCTGCCCTCCTCTTCCTCGAGCTCTGGACATTTACAAAGTGAGGACCCTGCTCTCTGCTCAGTCACTTAGTTCAACTTTTCAACTCTCAAGTTGACAGTATATCAACCATTACAATACAGTAAGGATATAAACCAGTAGCATAGCAATTTATAGCAAATTTTACGTAATGTGCCTAACTGTATTGCTGTGCTTTTGTACTATTGATATCACAGTGGGTTTGTTGCCTCATGTGTCCCTACAAACATCTGAGTAATGCCTCATGTCATTGTGACTACGGCGCCCCCTAGAGGACTTGTGAGCTTCAGTACAGTCTTGAGTACCATCTAGTATGCAGCCGGGTGACCAGCTCATCATTATACATTGTAGAACTGCATAGGAAGGACATATATGCATTTACATACAGATACATGCATATTGATACACAGACATTCCTTGTTTAACCTCCTGCTACTAAGTCAATCATTAACTGAATTGGTTATAAACGAGGAATTGTATGTAGTGCGCACATTACAATATTCAAAACAAAAATGTTCAAAGAAAACTAACTTGTAACTTTGCTTTTATTTACCTCTTATGTGCAGTTCTATAATGTACAACAGAATATAAAACTACAGTACTTTTCTGTACAGTACAATCAGCACAAATTATAGTACTGTTCTGTTAAAGAAGCTAGCCAAAAGCCACAGTGCCACTCACGTTCTTGCATAAGTGGGTCATAAGTCAGAACAGTCATTAACCAGTTAGACTGTTAAATAAGGCAAGTCTGTGTATACATACATTTATATACATATACAGTGTATGGTTTTTGTACATACACTTTCATTTCTCTGATACTACTATAAAAGGTTTTTAAAAAATCATTTATTTATTTGGTACAGGATCTCACTACAGAGCTTGAATGCATAGTGAACGTCCTGTCTCAGCCTCCTTAGCACTGGGGTTACAGGTGTGCACCACTTTGCCCAGTTTTGGTGGCTGGTGTGGCATGCAGTACTGGAGATTGAACCCAATCCTTATGCTTGCCAGGCAGGCACTTAGACCACTGAGTTATGTCCACAGCCCTATAAAATATTTTTTTTTAAAACATTTTATTTTATTTATTTATTTTAACATTTATTTATTTATTGTGTGCGTGTGTGTGTGTATATGGCCAGCTCAGCCCACCAGGGGGCGGGGCTGGCTGGCATGTGGTGCTGGGGGATCGAACCGCAGTCTCTGTGCTTTGCCAAGCTTGTTCCAAGTAGGTGCTTCAGACCACTGAGCCATCTCGCCAGCCCCTATAAAATATTTTTTAAAAAATATTTTTTCATCCATATTTTTAATTATGTTCTTCTATCTTTACTGGCTTCTGGTCTTCTATAGTTAATTAATTCCATAATTTATCATTCATTCCCCAAGTATTGAATACTCTGCTTGGCTTTGGGGCTTCATTACTGAGGATAATTTTGTTCTGTTCTTCTCTATTCCCCTCTTACTAAATAACCCCACATTATTTGCCCTGAATTTATTCAGTATTACTGTGAAATGCTTTTCAGTGTCTTGCAAGCTATGATGTATTAGAGCATATATCATAGTTTGTTTTACTTATATAGTGTTCTTTTAAACTTGCTTCTCGTACTTTTAAACAACTGTCCCCAGTGAAAATAAAACTTTTATATTTCAACTCAGAAAATAAATATAGGTATGATCTAAACAAAAGTTTTACAATGGAATACATATCCTTATTCTTCAGAACAGTTTTCCTGGTATTTTTATTATGTTTCTAAAAAACCCCACTAGTTGTGACCTATTAACTTGATACAATGCATTCTTTTTTTTTTTTTTAATTTTTTTAACATTTATTTAGTGTGTGTGTGTGTGTGTGGCCAGCTCAGCCCACCAGGGGGCGTGGCTGGCTGGCATGTGGTGCTGGGGGATCGAACCGTGGTCCCTGTGCTTTGCTTAGCTTAGTTTGTTCCAAGTAGGTGCTTTAGACCACTGAGCCATCTCTCCAGCCCTACAATTCATTCTTGACTCATGTCTTTTTTTTTTTATTTTCCTCCTTTTATTTTTTATTAGTACATGTTAATAGTACATAATGATCACATTCTTCATGTGTGGGGAGTTGGTCCATGTACATAACACATTTTATTCTTTTTATTTTTGTGATCCCCCTTTCCTCTCCTGCTCTGCTTCACCTCTTGGACTATGACCCAGTCTTTGAGCTTATTTCCAATTTTATTTCTTTCATTAAGTTTATAAGATGCATAGCCTTCTGTCTGATACTTTTAAAAAAGTAGTATACACATACATTTCAAAACTTGTAATCTTAATGTATTTTTTAAAATTTCCGATCTGAGTTCCTCTATACCTTTCTGCAGTTGTTTCTTTATTTCAAAGACTATTGATTCATTGATTTCAGCTGTGTGATTCCCAATTTGTTCTGTACTAGTGTCCTCTGCACTTGTTATGGGAGGGCTTGGGGTCTGAGATTGCATTTTGCTCCTTGTTGTCATATTGTATAGCACTGTCCTCTGACCTTTGTTGTAGAGCTTTGGTGCAGTTATAACTTTAGTACCAACTGAAATTCAGGTGCAGTTCTACAAAGTTTGAATTTATCCAGTTGTGCCTGACTTGGGTCTGGCTGCTGTGCTCAGCTCCTTCCTGCTGCAGCCCTTGGGAGTGAACCTGTTGTGCCCCTCTGGCAAGATATTCTGCTCCTGGACTGGCTGGGTGGTTCTGTCCCCTACTCTCTTTGCAGGGACTGCAGCTGCAGAGTTTCACCCCAGAGCTGAGTCTGAAGGGGACAAGGGGGAGTAAGGGAGAAGGGGAGCTCTCTGGCACACTCACCAGGCCTGGGTTAGGGCTAGATTTGGGGGTCCCAATAACGTGGCAGAAGTTCTCACTGGGCGGGCATGGGGGGGCTGCAGGATTGGGGAGGGTCCCCAAGGGCGTGAAAGTGGGTGTCACTCACACTGCACCTGGATTTGGACTGACAGGTCCCACGGGTGCCAATGTATTTGTTCATCTTGAATTCTTTTTATATTATTAAATCCTTCAAGTTGAGACAAAAAGTTTTCAAAATTAAAATTTTCTTTCTTTCTCTGAACTATGCAAGTCAGCTTTCTATAATAAAATAGGTAAGATAATTAACTCACACATTGGGCTTACAGTTTTGGGTGGGTCCAGTCTATGATTAGTTGACCCCACTGCTTTTGGACCTGTGGGGTGGCAGCACATCGTACTGGGAGTGTATGATTGAGCAAAATGCCTGTATCATGAGCCAAGGAGCACGAGGGGAGGAGAGAGCGACCAAGGTTCCACAGTGCCCTTCTAGGGCAAAATTCCAGCAATCTAAGGACCTCCGCTAGGCCATCCTCCCAAAGCTCCCAGTAAGTAGTACCACCCTGGCACTCAAACCTTTAATGCATAAGCCTTTGGGGACACTTATCCAAACTGTAGCAGCCCCAAAATTATTTCAGTAGTATAATGCATTAGGCAGTTTCTTAATTACTAGGATGAAAAATAATAGATGAATGACATTAAATATCATATTATAGTATATTGTATTAATCAGCTTTCTGTCACTGTGCAAACACCTGCGATAATTTATGAGAGAAAAGATTGATTTTGGCTCACAGAGGTTCCAGTTCATAACCAAGAGGCCTGATTACTATTAGGTTTCTAGCAGAGCTGACCAAAGCCAGTGGTGGAGAGCATGTGGTGTAGTAAAACTGCCTGCGACCAGGAAGCAAGAGAATGAGGAGGAGGCAGGTGTGGAGGGTGTCTGGCAATGATCTGAAATGATAAAGACTGTCCTCCAGGTCCCCCTCTGAAAGGTTCCACTCCCTGCAGTGCCATCGTGGGACCAGGGCTTTATAGCACATGGGCTGTGGGGCATCTGAGATCCACACCACAGCACAAAGTAATCTAT